GGCCAATCAGAGCACACCTCGCTTTTCAGACCGATGAGCTTTGTAAAAATCGACGCGTTTCAGAAAGGGTCAGAGGAGAATCAATAATGTACAGTATGTGGAAAATAATGTGTTTTTTTTTACCTTAAACCACAAACACATTTCATTACACCAAATACACAAAATAATGTTCTTTTTTAGCAACGTCATATGACCCCTTTAATGTACAGTACATGCCAATGTACCTAGTGATCAGAAGGCAGTACTTGAATTATTTGTTTTATATTTTCATTTCTTTATTTCTTTATTTTAAATTCCATGTTTTTAAGTACGAATATTAAACATAATAACATTTTTTAGTAGATTAGTAAATTCCATGTTATTGAAAATATTGAAAAATATATTACATACAATTCTAAAATGTACATATATTACATTAAAATATATTATATTAAAAATTATATTATATTATATTATTATTCATGCAAAAATAGAAGTTTCAGCTGCTGATGCAATAGCCTGATGCAATTTTCCCACAAAGAACTCCAAAGAACTCAAGTCAAGAACATCAAAAATGGTTCTTCACAAGAAGAGCCCAAGCACCTTTACTTTTAAGACAGCCGAACAGCACTCAGTAATAACAAAGAGATCATCAACAGCATCCATCAGAATGTGTCAGGTGAAAGCAGGGATGATTGACTGACAGCTCGGCCTCTGCACCGAGCTCAAGTCTAGCAGAACCTCGAGCGAGTTTGAGGGGACACACCCAAACCAGTCTAATCTTTGACAGCTCCTTTACCAGGTAACACAAATTAGAACCCAACACACCTCTCGCAAGTGTCCCGCCACAGAACCTTTCAAAATAATCACGTTAGGTGCTCTGCAAAGCGCTCTTTTGCAATATTTCGTAAGCTCTGGCTTTACTCCGATGCTTTACAAAGAACTTCTCAAACAACTTCTCACTTTGGCCGACTAAAGAGAATTCCCCTTCTTCTTGGTGAACAATGGCGGTGATTCTCAGTAAAATTATAATATTTCTAACAAACAATACTTAAAATAAACTGAGGACTCAAGACACCAAAATCAGTCTGTCCTGCATGTACCCATTACGATGTAATTCTCATTGACATCCCTGTCAAGATTCGAGGAAACACTCATTCACTAATTAATTTTATGTTATTATTTTAGTGTTAGGACTAATGATGAAAAATAAGACTCAGTAAAATATATTTACTATTCAGAGAGATATAATATCACACAACACAGAAACTAGACCAAAATATGAATGAATCTACACCACGACAATGACCTTCTATAAGTTATGCGAACAATTAATTCACAAAATGCCACATGATACAAAACACAGCAGTAAATATAATTTAAAAAAATGATAATATATATATACATATACCATCGCAAATTTGCGTGTAAATATATATTTTAAAAAAATTATAATAAAAAACCTGTAA